ACAGCTGTCTACAGTTGCCGTTGTTTGAGCTTTCCTTGATGGGCGCTACAATGTCTTTACTTATGTGCTTTATCGCCGTTTTTAAACTGTGAAATGCAGTGAGCGTGCGCATAAAGGCTTAGGCATAATGTGTAGTATATATATATATATGTAGTATATATATATATATATATATATATATATATATATATATATATATATATATATATATATATATATATATATATATATATATATATATATATATATTATAATGCCGTTTCCTGACCATCAGATTTCGGTCAAATCTTCCCCAAAGTCCAGGAAATGGCATTTTGGAGACTCTAAATTTTCCAGGGGGATGCCCGTAAACAAACCTTGCACCTGCGGACCACCCTTGACAAACCTTGCACCTGCGGCGCTCGGCTCGTGCCTTCGGTCCTCGTTTATCAAGCGTAACATTATAGGGGCGCATATTGGTTGACAGCCCACTGACCCCCGAGAAAAATAGTACCCACCACGCCACTGCTCCAAACTACACGGCTAAAAACGCACAGATTGTTCCAAATTGATATCGACAAGCGTGAACAATGTTGTGCCGCCAACAAGTTGTCAACCATGTTGTTCCAAGTTGTTACAGTTGAACAATGCTGTAACAACATGTTGACAATACTGTTCAGTGGGCCGCACAACGGGTTAGGTTAAAATGCGGAAGCGGATGCGGAACGGAATGGAACGGAAATGGGTTTTAAATTAAGTTTTACCTCATATTCGTTCCGTTCCGCATTTTAACCCCATATCCGTTCCGTTCCGCATTTTAACCCCATATCCGTTCCGCATCCGTTCCGTTCCGCATCCGCATTTTAACCTAACCCACAAAAAGCACCTGGTTAAAATTTTGTCAGAGACCTTGCTCGTAAAACGAATTTCTGCGATTCCTTTTACGTCGTGTAAGGATCATATACTGTCTCTCGGCTCAGACCTCTAGCTCGGCTTTTCCAACCAGTGGTCCTCGTAAGGGGGGGAGGGGAGTGAATAGGTTTTCGGATCGTCGGATTTCACAGAAAAAATTGTTCGGATTTCGGATCTGGCTAATATTTTACACGGATTTGTGGATCTTATTGAATACAGCGGATTGCGGATTTATCTAATATTTTGGCTCGGATTGTGGATTTCAGGCATATGTAGCTTGTACTTTAGTTCGGATCCTGGATTGTGACTTCATAGTAGAGCTTTTAGCGGATTCAAATTTAGACAAGACCATTCTCGGGTCGCGTATTTTGCTTCAAATTTGGGCGGATCGGCGGATTTACCCCCTCCCTCCTCATAAAGACCTCATTGTCCTCACAGGATCAAATTTTGTGAGTTATATTAAAGTAAAGGATAAAATAGTAGATGGCCTTCTTGTAGATGGAATTTTCGAATTACGCAAATTTATATACATTTTTAGACCTAAACAGAAGCAGTGGCGCAAAAATGCAACGATAGGTGATCATAGTTTGGTATTTATCATCAGAAAAATCCATATTTCTAAGAAACAAGATGAAAACATAGTGGAAATTAGAAATATGAAAAACTTTGATGACAAAAAATTTGTTGAAAATTTACTTAATCAGCATTGGGAATATGTATAGTTCTTCGCTGATAATCCATACACTATGTGGGAGATTTGGAAGAAATTGTTTGAGTTGAGGAAGCACTAAATAAGCATGAACCCATTTAACAAAAAAAGATCAGATAAAAAAAAGTCCCTTGGATTACTAGTGACATAAAAAAGCTTATAAATAAGAGGGATAGATCTAAGAGAAAAGCCATTATTAAAAACCTTGAAGCAGATTGGTTAGTGTATAAACAAACCAGAAATAAATTAAATATAGAAATGAAAAAAGTCAAAAAGGATTATTACTCCAAGAGAATTGCTGGTCAAAAACAAAATCCAAAGGAGGCTAGCTTGGAAAACAATAAACAACTTACTAGGCAGATAAAACAAACCAATAAAAGTAAATGAGTTAAGTATAAGTGGAAATAATTTAACAAATTCAGAAGACGGTAACGAATTCTTTTCAAATATTGGGCCTGACTTAGCTAGCAAAATTGATACTTCGAATTACAATTTTCAAGAGTATATTAAGAAACCTAAATCAGAATTCACTGCATTTGAGTCAATTACCACCAACAAAGTTTATTATCTCCTACGTGACCTCTCTAGTGCAAAAGCCACTGGCATTGATAAAAAATTTCAAGTAAAATTTTAAAACTAGCAGCACCTGCTATCTCCAGTTCATTAACTTATATTTTTAATCAGGCTATTACACTATGCACTTTTCACGATGAATGGAAGATAGCAAGAGTATCACCTCTTTATAAAAATGGCCAAAAAAATTTGCCTGGTACAGACCAATTTCTGTTTTGCCAGCTGTTAGCAAAGTTATGGAAAGAATTTTATATGACCAACTATATGATTATTTGACGAAATTTCAGCTACTTAATGATTGTCAATTTGGCTTTCGCAAATCTCACTCAACTGCTACAGCGTTACTAGACTGTACTAATAGTTGGTATATGAATATTCATGACAAAAAGTTATTTAACTTAGTTGTACTTATTGACTTAAAAAAGGCATTTGATACTGTCGACCACCAGATTTTGCTAAAAACCCTCGAAATTTATGGCGTAAAAGGAGATGCTTTGGCTCTACTAAAATCGTACTTGATAAATCGCACTCAGAAATGCCAAGTTAATGGAACTATTGCATCGGAGCGGTTGATTAAGTGTGGTGTGCCACAAGTTTCTATTTTAGGGCCATTATTCTTTTCATTATATATTAATGACTTGCCTCAGTGTCTAAGCAAAACAAAACCTCGACTGTTTGCTGATGATACAAACTTAACAACTGCGGGAGAATCTATAAATGATGTTGAAGCTGCAATGAATTCTGATTTAGAAAACCTTAGGAAATGGTTAATTGCCAATAAACTAAGTTTAAATGTGGCCAAAACTGAATTTATATTAATTGGATCTAAACCATTGATAAAACGTATCTCAAATAAACAACCAAACACTATCATAGTAAACAAACCAATTAAACAAGTATAAGATTGCAAAACTCTTAGAGTGACTGTTGACCAGCATTTGTCTTGGAAGAATAATACTGAAAATATTTGCAAGAAAATAACATCCGGGATATCAGCTCTTCGTCAAATGTTGAAAAAGATACACTTGTCTCTGTGTATAATTCTATTGTTCGCCCATACTTTACATATTGCTGTGTATGGGATGTGTTTGGTGAAACACAATCAAAACGCCTCCAAAAGCTCCAAAACAGAGCTGCTCGAATCATAATGAATATGAGCACTGCAATGATGTAGATCATCTGGTTGCTTTAGATGCTTTAGACTGGAAGCCACTTAAAACGGAAAGAATAAAGGCTAAGTCCAAACTGATGTTTAAATTGTTGAATAAAATGGGTCCTAAATCACTTACTGATTTATTTACTTTCAAAAGTGAAATGACAAATTATAAACTTCGAGATGTTGAAAGTACTCTTTGCTTACCACAGCCGCGTACAAATAGCTTGAAAAAAAGTTTCATGTTAGACGGGCACACATTTGGAATTCTTTACCAACCGAAATTAGAGAGAGCAACTCCATCATGTCCTTTGAAACTAAAATCGCTACTCACATTTTTGAATACTCACATTTTTGAATAGCATTATTATTCTTATACCTATATAGACTATATATATATATTTCTTACTGTATGTAATATCTTACTATATACTATATCCTTGTAATTTTATTATTGTACACATCCCTTGTGGAAATCAGCCTAGGTTGACAATGGTTAACGTGTTTAAATAAAAAGTTATATCTATATATCTATCCATAGACCGCCCAATATCATTAAAAGAAAGTATTTGTAATTCAATTAAAATCTGTACATAGGGAAAAAATAATAAATAAATAAATGTTCGTGTTGTGATATACTTTTTCCGCCACGTTCTGGATGTATGGAATTTTTCAGAATGTTTTTGCTTGTATGGATTTTTTCTTTTCTTCTCCCCCCCCCCCCTCCACTTTTCTAATGGTCTGTCCCTTAAATTAACTGTGTATGTTTCTTTCCTTATGTATTCTTTGGTACTGTCGGAATGGTCGAATGGCAATCTCGTTCCCCGAGCCTGTGATCCTCGGGAAGGAACGCGAGGCTCTGGGATAATCCGTTTCAGGGAGGAATCTGATTGGCCATTGAAATGGAATGCGTAGTTCAATCTTAGCCAGGATTCCTGGCTTCCGGCAACGGATGGCGAGGATCGCAGGCTCTGGAAATGAGATTGGTCGAATGGCGTCAAAAAAGGGCCCATATGCGCTAAGGCCCAGTCCCACCGTCTCCTATAGACATCTGGATATAGACACCTTTTACACAAAGGTGTAAAATTCTTATTGGCGGAGGACACCTGTTATCGACCTATTTATCGCGCTCATGATAATTTCATTCGCAATTTGTCCAGCCGTTCAAGAGGACTTGAATTATGCGCATATAAATTTCATATTGCAATATGGAGAACGCAAGTCACATTTTTTAAAGACAAAGAAAACAAAATCATTTGATTTCTTGAAACATCCTTTTTTCCGTGTAATACTTTGGTTCGGCATCTCTATACTGAGACAAAAGTGTTTGTTGAAGCACTAGTGTAACTACTATACTATTGTGTTTTTCAACTTGCAATTTGTGACCCACATTATCAATCTAAACAAAACGGTACTGTTCGAATGGGGTGTAGATAAAAGGCGGACGGATAAAAGGCGGACGGATAAAAGGCGGACGGATAAAAGATAGCCTGGCATGGCAGGCGGTCTAAAATACCGCCTGCTGGGTTTGGCAGTGTAATTTGATAACCGCCCACTTTTTTGTCATGGTCCAATTAGCCAATCAGCAAACACTAAATATATTAAATAATCGAACTGTCAAACTATGTTATTGTTTGGTCGCAAAATTGCAAATGTATAAAAATATGTCGAAAGAAACGCCATTGAAAGTTTCAATCAGGACCGAATTAGGGGAATAACGACAAGAGGTAGAATAGTAAGCGCGGAAAATGAAACTAAAATACGGGGCAATACGCCAATAGAGAAAATATCTTATATTCTTATATATCGTCGGAGAAATTATTTATTTAAGGCAAGCAAAAGAAACGTTACGACAGTGGTAAAACCTTGGCCGAAATAAGCCGAATTGCCGATTTAGTTCATTTAGGAATCGAAGTTAATTCTACCTCGGAACTATCCGATCAAGTTTGTAAACCGTGTGAGCGAAATATCCGAAATGCAAGCGAACTGATTGCCATAATCAAACGAGACATAAACGCGTTGCCTGTGTACGTTCGAACAAATAGACAGTTGTATATTAAAAACCTCAGTTGCCAATTTGAACTGTCTCGTCTCCCTAACGAAGCCGTGTGGTAACGAAAGCCTTAAAAAGTTCAGAAAGTGAAGCGGCTAATAGGCATAGGCGTAAAAGTCCTGTTATAAAACCCGTTGCAAGAAAGACTATACGGCCGTCTGTATCTATTCTCGTTATATTTTCTCGCGGCAACAAGAACAATGTAAAAATCAAGCTTTTCCCATAGAATGGCTAAAACATTCTTTCTAAGGAGTAAATCTTTAACTGCTATCTTTTGCTCGCGTTTGACAATCAGTATTCAGTTCGCGTTTCGACTTTCGAGAAGCGTTCATTTTTACAACACCTATTAATTAAAGCGAACGCATGCATCATTAAAGTGTCAAACGTATGTTTGGCATATTAAAGTGTATTCACTTTTGAGTGACAGTGGCTCAGACTCGCAGCCAATCATCAATTCCCGTCCACTGGTGGACGGGGAATTCGATTACACTGCCAAACCCAGCAGGCGGTATTTCCCAGGCTTGCCCAATTTTAGGAACCGCCTGCCATGCAGGCTAGATAAAAGACGGACGGATAAAAGGCGGACGGCGGAGCATCTTATAAACACACGATTACTACCGCAAATTATTATAATACTCTAAATTAAAGTATATTCGCTTTACATCTGTAAGATGAATATGTTTTCACCCGTTCGAATTCTTAGCAATACAATGTTTTATATTTTCCCACGAAATAAAAAAATCGTTCAAGACTCAAGAGCCTTGAACGACAGAAAAATATCGAGCAGCATTTGGAGGTTAAATAATTATCGGACTCAATGAAAATCTACCCCATCAAATGGCAGTAGCATGATAGTAGAAGAATAGTCGTTGCATGCAAATAGGTCATATTTCTATGTGTGAACCTCTTAGGTTTATAAGTAAAACGGGGATTATTTTCATTCAGGGACGTAGCAAAGCGTTTGAAGTTGGGGGGGGGGGGAGGATTTTACATGTACTATTTAAAGTACGAAAATGTCAGCAAGTGAATGTCACTTAATTAATAGCCCTGTCTGGAACAGAAGCTCCAAAACTAAGACGCTTTTTTACAATATTTCCAAACCTTTCCCGAGGAAGACAACATATAGCCTATCATACATACGTATTGAATGCTGATTAGAAATTTTCATTGCTAAAAATTCGAACGGAATCAACTTGTATTTATAAAATGCTCCGCCGTCCGTCGTCCGCGGTCCGTCCGCCTCTTATCTGCGCCCTGTTCGAACGACATCAAAAAGGGCCCATATCATCGTCGTTCCCAGGGCTTCTCGGCTGCCTGCGTTAAGTCCATATGTGCTAAAGCCCGGTCCCACTGTCTCCTATAGACATCTGGATATAGACATCTTATATCCTTTGTATAAAATTCTTATTGGCGGAGGACACCTGTTGTTGACATATTTATCGCGCTCATGATAATTTCATTTGCAATTTGTCCAGCCGTTCAAGAGGTCTTGAATTATCCATGAAGTCACATTTCAACTACTTTCAATGGAACGACACAGAAAACAAAATCATTTGATTTCATGAAATATCCTTTTTTAGTTGTCATATTCGGGATTCTTGGTAATACTTTGGTTCGGCATCTCTATACTAAGACAAAAGTGTTTGTTGAAGAGTAACTAATACCACTGTGTTTTTCAACTTGCAATTTGTGATCTACATTATCAATCTAAACAGAACGGTACTGTCAGAATGGTCGAATGACGTCGAAAAGGGCCCGGCATATGCGCTAAAGCCCAGTCCCACTGCCTCCTATATCGACACCTTGGATATTGACACCTTGTCCTTTGTGTAAAATTCTTATTGGCGGAGGACACCTGTTATCGACCTATCAGTATCGTGGTCATGATAATTTCATTTGCAATTTGTCCAGCCGTTCAAGAGGATTTGAACTATCCGCATATAAATTTTATTTTGCAACATGGAGAACGCAAGTCACATTTCAATTACTTTCAATGGAATGATACAGAAAACAAAATCATTTGATTTCATGAAATATCCTTTTTTCACAGTTGTTATATTCGGAATTCTTGGTAATACTTTGGTTATCATCTCGATACTAAGACAGAAGTGTTTGTTGAAGAGCAACTACTATTATTGTGTTTTTCAACTTGCAATTTGTGATCTGGGCTTAGTGCTTATAATCTTCTTGGAACTCATTAATCTCTATTTTGCCGCAGACTCGCTATTTCTAAATAATTCCCTCATATACTGTCTTGTCAGTGATATGGTTTTCTTCTTCCAAATCGGAGGGATATGTATGATGTTGATTATTTCAGTGCTTCGTTATCGCGCTACTGCACATCCTTTAAAACCTTCCATCACTCGACGAAAATTGAGAGTTGTTTGTGTTTTTATGTACATTGTTGGGTTGGTGGCAGGATATGGAACATTTATACCGTTATGTTTTATACAGAAACGTACAGCTGCCTCTGTCAAAAGAGTTCTTGATGGCTACCTGATATCCTGTTTTTATTTTTTCCCAACATCATTTATGGCTGTAATTTATTATAGACTATGTCGAGCACTCGTCAAAGAAAGCAAATACCTCAAACGCGTTTGTTCAAATCCAGTGACACGAAGTACATCTGCTTCCTCTTTCGAAGTCTTAAGATATTTTCGAAATCGACGAACTTTTTTTATTTGTTCCATCAGCGTTCTATGTTATGGAGTTGGAAATTTGCCAATTTCTGTATGGTTTATATGGGCCATCGTTGGCGAGGATAATTTACTAATAAATTATCTTTGGTTTTTCTATCTTAGTTTCATTTTAAGGATTGCTGGTACAAGTTCAGTAAATCCTCTCATATACGGAATATTTGACAAAAAATTGCTTTCAATTTGCAAACTTTGCCCCAAGTGGAAAAGAGAAAATGTTGGACCAGTCATTGTATCCAGTTGGAAAATGGACACGCGACTATAGGTTATCACGATGGCGTATTCCAATAAGTTCCAGAGATTTTTCCAGAGAAAAGAAACGGAGTTGTATACGAGCTAATTATAACCTGGGCTTGCAAGTTGCTTGAACTTTGGAAACTATAAAAAAGTTGATTACTTTGGACTTTCATATAACTTTGGAAACTATATACAAGGTTGATATTTTCACCAACCAAACATAAAGAATTTATGTCAATTATATTAACACTAAACAATTTGGTTATAAATAATGATATTTATTTCATTCTATACCTTGTTCTCTTATAAACTACAGTTATTAATACAACTCATAATGTATCTATGTTTCTTTGGTAATTCGTTCACTTGGTGTCCAAATACAATAACGTTTATAAATATCTAAATATAACTTTGTTCATCGATTTGCCAACGTAGCTGCCAAAGGCCCCATGAAAATTTTATGAATCCGTTATTATCCATTATATGTTAAAAGAAACACCCATCCCCTGACCCGCTTATGGTCAATGAAAACAGCAAGGGGACAGCGACCTTTCGCAGACACCGAGGGGCAAATCACTCCTAGAAAGTGTACAGGACATTTGGACTTTTAAAAGTCCGGTCGTTTTGTGGTTGGACTAAAATTGTGGTTAAAATTTCTCAATATTTTCTTATTGTTTTTAATGTTCTGGTGAAGCTATGCAGTAAACGCAATTATAACCGATTTTTCCAACGAGATAATAAAAAAATATTTCCTGTTAGGAATATTCGTATCAGAGCAGTCCAGGCGCTTGTCAGAATCCATATTTACTTGGGATAAAATTGCATAAATAGATAGAACCTGGGGCCGGTTGTACGAAGGCCGGATAGCGCTATCCACCGGATAGTGATTTTTTTAAGCTTTGTTAAATCAGTCGTTGATTGGTATAACTCGTACTAAAGTTTAGTATTTATAAGTTGAATGTTTTTTATTCTTCTTGTGTCGTCTATATCCGTAGTTTCACAGTTTTTCAAGCATTTTACAAAGGTTGAAACTCACTATCCGGTGGATAGCGCTATCCAGTCTTCGTACAACCGGCCCCTGGTGTACGTCGTATTCAATTCAGACGTAAATTTTAGATCTCAAGAGTGTATTGTATGAATTTTTAGTGTTGTCCAGCATATATTCGCAGATTTGATGACTTTTTCGGACTATTTGTCAAAGTGTGCAAGACGTTTGGAGTGATTTGCCATTCGGTTGACACTACTTGAGTGTTTTCATTGAACTTTCAATTTATTTGCTCCGAGTTGTCCCAAGAGTGAACAACAGAAAGAAGAGCTTTGGAATGCTAATAGCTTTATTGTCAAGTTTGACGCACAAATTGTTTTGTCGTTATACAGTATATGCCACATGCTTTCAAGGGATTGGTTAGATTGGTGGGATTGCGAAGGACGCAGCTCAACTTGATCTACACGCGTAAAAACGCACAAGTTGTTACAAGTCTGCAAACAAGTTGTTACAAATCTGTTCACAAGCTGTCAACAAGTTGTGTTCGTACCGTTTGTTCCCAGTTGTTGTAACAAGTTTGGAACAAGCTTGTAACAAGCTTGATGGCATTATCAGACTTGTTACAAGGTCAGTGTTCTAACAAGTCTGATACAGTCATGATATAACAAGAATGTTACAAGGTTGACGACACAAAGTTGTAACAACATTGTTAATTTGTTATATCATGAATGTATCGGACTTGTTGGAACAACCTTGCAACATGCCTGATAATATCAACAAGATTGTTACAAATTGTTAACAGCTTGTTCCAAACTTGTTGACAACTTGGGACAAGCAGTGCGAACACAACTTGTTGGCAGACTTGCTACAAGATGTGAGATTTTTACGCGTGTAGTCGAAAGCTTACTAAGGGCTCCTCTGGCAGCCACCTTATGACTAATGTCTGATCACGGAGCACAGCTACGGCGGAAGGGTCAGTTAGGGGACTAATCCCAACCCATCCTGCAACAATACCAACCCATCCAGTCAAGGGACCAATCCCAACCCATCATGCAACATTCCCTGTGGGAAGAGACTGGTGTACCCGGAGAAAACTCACGACTTTCGGTAGAGCGTTGGCTAACTCTTTTCACATAAAGGCCCGTTTACACGGGCGATTTTTGCTGCGATTTTAGTTGCGATTTTCTCCTTTTGGAGGATGTGAAGGAGGAGATTACTTAATGATGTTGTTAGTGCGGGTTAGGGGCGACGTTTCTGTCATGCACGATTCACTCGGCTATGTCGGCATGCATGTTCGTGTTGTGATATATTTCTTCCGCCACCTTCTGGATGTATGGATTTTTTTAGAACCTTTTTACTTGTATGGATTTTTTCTGTTCTCCCCCCCCACTTTTCTAATGGTCCGTCCCTTAAATTAACTAGGTACGTTTCTTTCCTTATGTATTCTTTGCTACATTATTAATCTAAACAAAATGGTACTGTCGGAATCGTCGAATGGCGTCAAAAATGGCCCATATACGCTAAAGCCCATGCAGTTCCACTGTTTCCTATAGACATCTGGATATCGACATCTTGTCCTCCGTGTAAATTCTTATTGGCGGAGGAAATCTGTTATCGACCTATTTATCGCTCCATCAGGATCATTTCATTTGCAATTTGTCCAGCCGTTCAAGAGGACTTCGCGAATGAACTATCCGCATATAAATTTCAGTTCAACTACTTTCAATGGAACGACACAGAAAACAAAATCATTTGATTTCTTGAAATATCCTTTTTTCACATTGTTATATTCGGAATTCTTGGCAATACTTTGGTTATCATCTCTATACTAATAGACACCTTAATTGTCCTTTGTGTAAAATTCTTATTGGCGCCGCAGGACACCTGTTATCGACCTACTAGTATCGCGCTCATGATAATTTCATTTGCAATTTGTCCAGCCGTTCAAGAGGACTTGAACTATCCACATATACATTTATTTTGCAACATGGAGAACGCAAGTCATAGTTCAATTACTTTCAATGGAACGACACAGAAAACAAAATCATTTGATTTCATGAAATATCCTTTTTCACAGTTGTTATATTCGGCATTCTTGGCAATACTTTGGTTATCATCTCTATACTAAGACAGAAGTGTTTGTTGAAGAGCAACTACTACTATTGTGTTTTTCAACTTGCAATTTGTGATCTGGGCTTAGTGCTTATAATCTTCTTGGAGCTCGTTAATCTCTATTTCGCCGCAGACTCGCTATTCCTAAATAATTCCCTCATTAAAATTCCCTTCCTACTCTATACAGTAATGATCTACCTGCATGCCTGAGTAAAACAAAACCACGGCTGTTTGCTGATGATACAAATATCACAGCAGCTGGAGAATGCTTAAGTGATCTTGAAGATGCAGTAAACTCAGATTTAGAAATGCTTCGTAAATGGCTCATGGCAAACAAACTGAGCTTGAATGTGGCGAAAACTGAATTTCAAATTATTGGTACTAAACAGATGCTGAAGAAAGCTTCTGTTCAGCAACTTAAAATTCACATTCAAAACATACCCATAAAGCAGGTTTTTCAATGTAAAACACTAGGTGTGACTGTTGATGAAAATTTGTGTTGGAAGAGCAATACAGATAATATATGTAAAAAGATATCATCTGGAATATACGCTCTTAAAAGCATTAAAGAATATGTTGATCAAAAAACACTCGTTTCCGTATACAATGCTATAATTCAACCATACTTTAGCTACTGTTGTGAAGTTTGGAATATATTTGGTAAAACGCAATCCACGCGTCTCCAAAAACTTCATAACAGAGCTGCTCGTGTAATAGCATGTGTGCCTAATGAGGTCGATCAACAAACTGTGCTAAATATATTAGGATGGGAACCACTCAAGGAACAAAGAGTGAAAGCAAAGGCAAAAATAATGTTTAAAACGCTAAATAACATGGGGCCAAATTGTCTCAAAGAATTATTTACTTTCAAAAAAGAAATATTAAACCGCAGTCTTCGTAACAGCTCAAGTACCATACGTTTGCCCAAGCCAAACACAAACAATATGAAAAAGAGTTTCATGTATGATGGAGCTTCCATATGGAACTCTCTTCCAAAAAATATAAGAGAAAGTAATTCGCTCTCAAGTTTTAAAAGAAAAATCGCTACCTATAGCTTATAAAGAAAACCACATGATTGTAAATAGCAAACTTTTTGTATATATTTTAATAATTTTATATTCTGCATGTTAATACTTCCTTATTATTTTACTTGTAACAATTTGTTAATGTTTTTTACACGCCCATTGTGGAAACCAGCTTCTGCTGACAATGTTAGCGTGGTTAAATAAAGTTTATCATCATCATCATCATCATACTGTCTTGTCAGTGATATAGTTTTCTTCTTCCAAATCGGAGGGATATGTATGATGTTGATTATTTCAGTGCTTCGTTATCGCGCTACTGCACATCCTTTAAAACCTTCCATCACTCGACGAAAATTGAGAGTTGTTTGTGTTTTTATGTACATTGTTGGGTTGGTGGCAGGATATGGAACATTTATACCGTTATGTTTTATACAGAAACGTACAGCTGCCTCTGTCAAAAGAGTTCTTGATGCATGGCTACCTGATATCCTGTTTCTATTTTTTCCCAACATTATTTATGGCTGTAAGTACTATTTAAAGCACGCGTAGGAGTGTTTTATCACATATAAAACACGGCGCGTAGCGGAGTGTTTTATATGTGATAAAACACGACTGCAAGTGCTTTAAATGGCTTAAAAAACGACTCATCTTATACGAGTTCATTGGCGAAGTAATTTTTAAAATAAACTTTGTCTAAACCGAGAAAATCAAAGCTAAAGTTTATGTAAATTAACATGATTTTTTATCACATATAAAACCACGACACGCTTATCACCTTATGATTTTTCTTTGTGTTTTGCTCATGAATTATTAATGAGTTTTTTAATTTATTATAGAATATGTCGAGCACTCGTCAAAGAAAGCAAATACCTGAAACGCGTTTGTTCAAATCCAGTGACACGAAGTACATAATATCTGCTTCCTCTTTCAAAGTCTTAAGATATTTTCGAAATCGACGAACTTTTTTTATTTGTTCCATCAGCGTTCTATGTTATGGAGTTGGAAATTTGCCAATTTCTGTATGGTTTATATGGGCCATCGTTGGCGAGGATAATTTACTAATAAAATATCTTTGGTTTTTCTATCTTAGTTTCATTTTAAGGATTGCTGGTACAAGTTCAGTAAATCCTCTCATATACGGAATATTTGACAAAAAATTGCTTTCAATTTGCAAACTTTGCCCCAAGTGGAAAAGAGAAAATGTTAGACCAGTCATTGTATCCAGTTGGAAAATGGACACGCGACTACAGGTTACCACGATGGCGTATTCCAACAAGTGCCAGAGATTTTTCCAGAGAAAAGAAACGGAGTTGTATACGAGCTAATTATAACCTGGGCTTGCAAGTTGCTTGAACTTTGGAAACTATATAAAAAGTTGATAACTTTGGACTTTCATATAACTTTGGAAACTATATACAAGGTTGATATTTTCACCAACCAAACATAAAGAATTTATGTCAATTATATTAAGACTAAACAATTTGGTTATAAATAATATTTATTTCATTCTATACCTTGTTCTCTTATAAACTACAGTTATTAATACAACTCATAATGTATCTATGTTTCTTTGGTAATTCGTTCACTTGGTGTCCAAATACAATAACGTTTATAAATATCTAAATATAACTTTGTTCATCGATTTGCCAACGTAGCTGCCAAAGGCCCCATGAAAATTTTATGAATCCGTTATTATCCATTATATGTTAAAAGAAACACCCATCCCCTGACCCGCTTATGGTCAATGAAAACAGCAAGGGGACAGCGACCTTTCGCAGACACCGAGGGGCAAATCACTCCTAGAAAGTGTACAGGACATTTGGACTTTTAAAAGTCCGGTCGTTTTGTGGTTGGACTAAAATTGTGGTTAAAATTTCTCAATATTTTCTTTATATTGTTTTTAATGTTCTGGTGAAGCTATGCAGTAAACGCAATTATAACCGATTTTTCCAAAAAGATAATAAAAAAATATTTCCTGTTAGAAATATTCGTATCAGAGCAGTTCAGGCGCTTGTCAGAATCCATACTTACTTGGGATACAATTGCATAAATAGATAGAATCCTGGTGTACGTCGTATTCAATTCAGACGTAAAATTTAGATCTCAAGAGTATATTGTATGAATTGTTAGTGTTGTCAAGCATATATTCGCAGACTTGATGACTTTTTCGGACTCTTTGTCAAAGTGTGCAAGACGTTTGGAGTGATTTGCCCCTCGGCTGACACTACTTGAGTGTTTTCAGAGTTGTGGTGCTGTTCTAGATCTGTTATCTCTCATATCATCAATTTGGGGCTTTTGTTGAGGAAATTAGGATTGAACCTTTTTAAGCCACAAGTCTTCTTAACTCATTGAACTTTCAATTTACTTGCTCCGAGTTGTCCCAAGAGTGAACAACTGAAAGAAGAGCTTTGGAAGGCTAATAGCTTTATTGTCAAGTTTTGACGCACAAATTGTTTTGTCGTTATATATACCACATGCTCTCAAGGGATTGGTGAGATTGGTGGGATTGCGTAGGACGCAGCTCAACCTGATCTACACACGTAAAAACGCTCAAGTTGTTACAAGTCTGCAAACAAGTTTTTACAAATCTGTTCACAAGCTGTCAACAAGTTGTGTTCGCACCGTTTGTTCCCAGTTGTTGTAACAAGTTTGGAACAAGCTGTTAATTAAATTGTAACAAGCTTGATGGCATTATCAGACTTGTTACAAGGTTGTTCTAACAAGTCTGATACAGTCATGATATAACAAGAATGTTACAAGGTTGACGAGACAAAGTTGTAACAACATTGTTACATCATGAATGTATCGGACTTGTTGGAACAACCTTGCAACATGCCTGATATAAATATCAACAAGATTGTTACAAATTGTTAACAGCTTGTTCCAAACTTGTTGACAACTTGGGACAAGCAGTGCGAACACAACTTGTTGGCAGACTTGCTACAAGATGTGAGATTGTTACGCGTGTAGTCGAAAGCTTTCTAAGGGCTCCTCTGGCAGCCACCTTATGACTAATGTCTGATCACGGAGCACAGCTACGGCGGAAGGATCAGTTAGGGGACTAATCCCAACCCATCATGCAACATTCCCTGTGGGAAGAGACTGGTGTACCCGGAGAAAACTCACGACTTTCGGTACAGCGTTGGCTAACTCTTTTCACATAAAGGCCCGTTTATACACGGGCGATTTTTGCTGCGATTTTAGTTGCGATTTTCTCCTTTTGGAGGATGTGAAGTAGTAGATTACTTAATGATGTTGTTATGAGATTTCATAACCTGGAACATTTATAACTGATCTACTTCTTCACATTCTCCAAAAGGAGAAAATCGCAACTGAAATCGCAGCAAAAATCGCCCGTGTAAATGGGGCTTAAGTGTTATTAGTCCTTGCTCTAACGATTGCGTCACCAAAGTCCCTTTGCAAATGTTTGCTAATTTCTGATCCAATTTTCATCCAAATTGAACCAAAATTTAATCGATATGTCCTTGGACTATTCCTAATAGCCCCACAAATTTCGTATTAATATACGTTGGATATCTTTGAGTTATCGTAGTGACAGGCAAACGCACAAAATGCAAATACATATACAAACCATGTGAAAACATAACTTCCTACTGGAGGTAACAATTTAAAGCAGTTAAAGCAGACAGCAAATAAATTCCTTAAATTGTCTGGACAGTATTTAGTAATTGACTTAAACGTCGTGACAACGTCCTTTGTGCATATAATGTCAAAACATTTTCTTATATAGCGTTTAAACTTTGCCAGAAAGCAAAGCAAACGAAAGCAATCAAACATGCCTGGAAATTGCAATATTAAGTGAAATTTGTCGTTCGTCTTTTTTTCACCCTCGAATTGACAAAATGAGCCTGGGTAGGTGTCTGGCTATCAACTCTACTCCATATGGAAATTTGTGGTCAAAAAACGATGGTAATGGTGAGGTAGGTCTACTAACCATGTGGTCATAAAGCGAAGTTCGATAGCATACACAACGTTATCGAAGCATACGGGGCATCAAGGCTTAGGCCGAAGGATGGTGATGATCTACACAACAACTATTCCTACCTAATATGCATGCAGATTATTTTATGAAAAACTTGTTTGCAACCGGTATACTGGAGCACTTTAAGCCATGAATAGCAAAAGGCAGCGATGCAACAACTGACCATTCATTCTTTTCACAATCAAAACATTCTGTTTCAGAGGTACATAATGCATTGCGATCACACCCACCAACGATATAAACTTTGTTATCATCGACAGCAATCCCAGCATCCCATCGTGCAGTGTTGGCATGAGGAATAAGATTCCATTCATCAACGTCGGGAGAGAAAACTTCACCTGAGTTCAAATGACTTGTACCATCCCAGCCACCTAGATATAAAAAAATACCAGTGTAAGAACCTGGATATATTTATTCACAATTTTATTAAGTGAAATGCACCCCATCTGGAAAATACGTCAACTTCGCCTTGGTCATTCAAGCCTCAAGGCTTTTGTCTTGTTAATGCTGACGTAATTGACGATTTCGTAAACACGTATTCATCTCCCACAAGAAGAAAAAATCCTTGAATGTCAAGGTAATAATCATGAAAGTGACGCTCTTAGGCGATGAAGAAGAAAAACTTTATTTAACAAAGGTAAATATAGTATTACTGGTTACTCAGTTGCTTTCATAATGGCCCTTTTAGGGTTATTAGAAAATGTCCTTTTCCTTTTTTAAAGTAAAACATATATAATTACAGAACACACAATCCATGATTTTAATATATTCTATACATAAATCTTAAGAATACATATATTTGATAGTGTCTGAATGACCATAGTTAATAGATACAAGGAATCACTACCATGCAGGAGAATCAGATCGTATAGTTAAGGTTAAGCCAAACAAACCCAAGTGTTCTGATAAAGTTAGCATGAACTGGAAGGAAGGCAACCAGGCGTATGATTATACGAGAGTGGACTGGGTGGCAACATGCATCAGTATGGTTAGGGTAACTCCAACGATGAATTCAATGGTGAAAATGGAATCTTATTTATCTCACAAACGTATAAAGACGTAACAAAGATGCTACAGTTTTCCAATATTGTATCAAAAAGAACACTGAAAAAAATGGGCGTGGTTTGGGCGTAGTCAAAACGTAATTGCCCAAATCTATGGTAATTTGTACCAGTATTTAAAAACTTACCAATGACATAAATCTTTCCATTGGAAAACGCCCCACAAGCACTGGCACGTTTGTTAGTTAATGATGAAACCTCACACCAAGTATCCGTACTTGGGTCATACTTCTCAACTGAATTCAGGGACATGCCATAGAAATTAACACCACCAATCACATACAAAGCATAACAGCCGACTACGCATGCACTACTGCGGGTTGACGCCATTGGACAGATCATAGTCCATGTGTCGGTTCCAGGAGAATATTTTTCAACCGTGTTTTGACGTACATTGTTCTCATCACATCCTCCAACAGCATACATTGTTCCTGCAGAAACAAAATGACGTCAAGGTTTACCAAATTTACAGTTGTATAATTGTTCTTGTCAGTCAGGATTTTCCTAAAAATGTTTTTGTTACAATTTTATGCTGGGTTTTAAGATTGCTTCGCGGAAAATTTTAAATACATTTAAGAGTTTCTTATGAAATAACTAAATGAATAAAACACAGCATTTAGTATTGTGTATGTTTTTAAGTCTATTTGTTGATGGAATTAGCACTATGGAAATTTAAGATTTAAACTTCGCCGTGCATTTACATACGTGTCAAAAATGCTCAACTGGAAAGCAGCCTTTAATCTCTATAACAACAGTTCGTTTTCCTTCTGGTAAATCACTGACTGATGTTTTTCGATTACCTTCCTCCTATGCAGAAATTTCTGTCGATTATACATTAGATGCTTTCGCAGTGTTTTCGCTCTTGAGTCTTACAGTAGAACTCATAAAACTACATAGCTATTCAGATTTCTATCCGATGCACTTTCACCTGCACGAACGACTGTGATGAAGATCTCAATATCCACGAAGATCAAATCCATCCCCCAAATCATCCATTTGACTTGGTTTTAAATTTTTCTTCGAGAAATTGTTAATTGTAATTTTCTTAAATCTTAAGAGTGATGAAATTTTAAATCACCTGGGAGGAGAGAACATCATCGGAAGAATAAAGGCCCATTCATGGAATTATATCAAAGATACTGTAGATGCATGAAACTTTTTTTACAGTGTGAAAGAGGTATGTATTAAATAATTAAGACTATTTTTGTCTAAGTCTAAGAGATAATTAAACTAACTCAGCATAAAAGAACGACATAACAAAGTGATACTTGCAGCCATATGACTTGATACTTAATAATAAATATTGAAGGCACAGAACATAATCCTTTTGACCTAACGTACTTGTACTAAAAATATAGATTATTTACCATCCAGGACAGCTACATTTAACAGACTTCGTTTCTTCAACATAGGAGCAACTGGTGCCCAGGTATTGGTCCGAGGATCGTAACGTTCGACATTGTTTAACGAACTTTGAGCTGAACCTAAGCAAAAAAAACAACAAAAAGGCTGCATAAAGATACTGTACTTATTTAAATGTAAAATATGATTGATACATATTTTCTTCATCAACAGCGACGCCATCTTTAATCGTGATGCACTGTGGACCAGGGTGAACGTCGGTCCCAAAGCTCTTTTGTCGTTAAAAGATATCTACATGTAAATTTATCATCACAATGATACTAATATTGGCTTTCCAAATGGAAAAATGTTTTCTGCATGAGCGTCTCAACCTGAACCGGGAATCCAACCCAACGCCTCTGGCTTTGCGCTGTAACAACTGAGATCGCCGTAGTTTAAACACTAAGAATTATTTAGTACCTGAGTACCTGCGCTGTAACCACTGGGATTGCCCGGTTCAGAAACTAAGAATTATTTTGCATAATTCATCTACAGTAGAACCCCTGCTATCTCGAACTAATTTTGCTTCCCTTGACCAAAATTGATGCATGAGCCATTACTTAACTTCTATAAAATGACATGTGATCCCGTTTGCCCAACATAGCTACTCTTACATTTTGACTCAATAGTTGTGCCTGTAAACGTGTATAATACATTCAGAATGTTGATTGGCACAACATGGGCAAACATGGCCCAAGGTAGGCATAGCATGTTGATTTCAATTCACGTTTTGTTGGTCTGGAATGTTTGAGCATATTTATCATGCAGCAGCGGGTATTGGCAGATAACCTTCGGCTGATGTAGAATGTAATATTTAGTGTTCAGTACTGTAACAAGTTTCCCAAACAAAGTACAAATTTTAAAATGCAAGTTTATAGACATGTACTGTATACCTTTAAAAAATACAAAACAATAGATACTCCGAAAATTGAAAGCATTATTTCGACGTTTCGACTAAACTATAGTCATCATCGGGAAATGAATGAATAAATTTGCAAAATGCTTTCAATTTTCGGAGTATCTATTGTTTTGTATTTTATCAAAATACTCAGTGGTTCCCGTAATTTCTGTATACCTTTCTTGTGGAAGGAGAATGAAACCATGGAAACCATGCTAGGAAATTTGACTAACGAAAATAGTTAAGCTTCAAGCTTTGAATAAGCCATTTAAATACAGCATAGTCATAAGATATGGATGGGAAGATCAACAATTGCATTTTAAATAGTATAAACTTGTTTCTAACATGCAATTCATACTGTTAATAGGTACTAGCTACAAAGTACTGAAAAACGTATCAGAGATGATAGCATACAGATTACAGAGGAGCGGGCACATACAGTACATGTTAACGCATATGCATGCACATTTCGTCATTGGTTAAAACAATAGATTAATGTCACTAATCTAATTAAGAGATTATCAATGTTAATCCACAAAGATTAACAATTAATCCACAAAGATTAACAATTAATCCACAAAGATTAACAATTAATCCACAAAGATTGACAATGTTGAATGAATAATATACTTCAATCCTCAGAGTTTAAAGTACAGTATGTTAATCCTCTACAGTATGTTAATCCTCTCTCAGATGTCTTTGAAGTCCACATCTGTTCATGTTTATTTTAAACCTTCCCTTTTTTACTTACCATAGCATTTATTAATCATACTATCAAAATAATTAACTAATCACAAGGAAAACCCATGGTCATGACTAGGGTTGGGCGATATTTCGATTTATCGCGATATTTTCAATCACGATTGTTGTATCGAAGGTAGAAACTTGAGCAACGATATATCGAAATTATCATCATGCTCGATGACTATCCGTGATATTGCTTTGCATGTGTTAATATACTGTAGCTTTTATAAAATCCTAAAAAAACTCTTTCAATTGCTAGAAAATATAGTTTTTAAAAGAATTAAAACTATTTCCTGATTTAAATATGAATTTAATATGCAATACAAAAGCTAATATTTATGTATTAATCCTCTAAACAATGAAATTGCAGGTTTTGCTTGCGCTGTGTACCCACGGCATTTGTGCCAGTGGAGACACAGTAGACATTGCATATACACAGTTCTGGTTTATGAACAGTAAATATTAGACTAGAAAAAGCCTTCATATTACTTTAATTTGTTGTTTTGCTTGTTTTAATAAGATTATATATAAGCTTACTATGCTTTGATATTAATTAAAATTGAAAAATGTGGTCATTGTTTTTATTGCATTTACTGCAATATTATCGAATATCATGGTAATTTCCTTGACAATAATCGTGAGATGATTTTTTTTATATATCGCCCAACCCGAGTCATGACTGACTTTTTTGTTTATAAACCTGTTTAACTCATGACCAAACAAAGGATTGGACCCGACACCTTGTGGACAGTAACACATAATGTTGTATATTTAGCCAAACAGGGGTTAATTGTTATGACATGCCAAAGCCTTTTTAATAGACACCATTCAAGTCTTTTTAATAGACACCTCTTTTAAGCAAGCACATAGTTGACAACTCAATGTTGATAAATCACTCTGCATTCACAATAAAATATGCTCTCAGTTATTTAGCTAATACAATACCTAAGTGAAGTACAGCCATAGATTTTATATGTAATTTAAGTACCTATAAGTTAAATTATATTTTCTGCTTTTTGAATAACAGTTTCTCATCATACTGTAGCTGCCACTCCCATGGCTTCTAGACAACCACATCACATCAATGGCCCCATTATAGACCACTTGCTGCTGATCTTAAAATGAGCTCATGCATGACACCTGCAGGACAACTTGAAACAAACCAAGTCCAGTTGCTTTCATATTTGCAAATTTTTGCTACTGACACAAAGTGCAAGACGTCTATTGCAATTTTGTCAAATAACAAACAAAATTTATTTTTAACCATTTTGAATGTGTTTCTAAAATTATAATTTCTTACCTGTATGTGATACCATTTGTTGTGTGAAAAGTATCATTGCATTGTTTTATAAACATAATAGTAATGGTTGCTGCCCGCATTGACTTTGAATAAAGCCTCCAATGACAAGAAATACTAGTCTGCTATTTGCAAGCTACCTGTGCCTTGGAAGCCTAAGTCAAACCTGATTGACTGAGAATATTAAAAATGCAAATGATTTCTGGTCATAATGTGCTGGTTTAAAGATGCGGTACAGTCCACATGTAAACAAAGGCTTTGTTTACATTTCGGTATCCAAAATATTGAATTTTATTTGACAACTATTTATATTTTCATGATTCTAGAGTATAATAAATTATCAAGACACAACAATCAAGCTTTGCAAGAATATAAAATGAAATAAAAACCTAAATAAACTGTTTGTAAATAAAAAGAGAGCTCCTTTGTGCACATGCGCAGATCGAACTGTACCGCATCTTTAAAATATAAAAAAATGTTTGAAAATTCTCCAGTTTACAGCTGGTGTGCAATTAGCAGACACTACTACAACATACAAACCTTCTCTAGACTGTCCGCCTACTGCATATACAAACTCTCCCATAACAGCCAGGCCATGTCGACATCTAGCAGTTGACATTGGTGTAAGATAGAACCAAGTATTACGTTGTGGAAGAAAACAAAATGTTGTATGTTTTACTTGACCTTTCTCAATACCTCCTGCACCAATAATAACATTGACTAAACCCATGGATTTCCTGAGTCGGGTGCGGTAGTTATCTAACAAGTGACGTCGATCAGGCAGCAGATGATAATTCTTGGCTTCTAACAACAATGAACTACAGCATGATGTTGACGTAACAATTTCTTCCTTTTCAACATGGTCGGCAATGTAATATGGTGACATTAATGGAAATCGTACCATGTACAAGAGATTTTCTAAATCTTTTACTCGTTCAATATGGTCCTTGTCAGATCCTTTAATCCAAGTTAAGAGTGCCTCATATATTTGCTCCTCTTTTTCAACATTAGTGTCATCATTCGATAGAAGTTCCAGGATACGCTCGCTACATAACAACACAAACTCTTTGCAATGAGAAACTTCTACAAAGTTATCTAATATATACCGGTGGGTGGATTGTTTCAGTTCCTCACAACCGAACTGTTCTGCAATAGATTCTATTCCTAAACAATTGGAAGGTTTCAAGTTCTTTTTCAGATATTGGCAACACGTTTCTTTTAAGTTATCCATGAGAAAATAATTAGCAGCTGCAACAATCTCTTTGACATTCTCAGCCGTGATCAGAACTTGACCGGTGTACAGGAAATCTAAAATTTGATTCATTATTTCAACAGTTACATCGTTCAATATGACGGGCTTGCTTTCCATGTTTTCTTTCATTTTTGTTGAAAACATACCACGAAAATACGGACTACCCGCGGCTAAAACGTTCCTATGACAATACATCTCCTTCTGCTGTACCAGCAACACTAGATCACATAAAAATTTATCTTGCCTAAAGTCGTTTAAAGCGCTTAAAATAGACAGGGAATGGTTCTCTTCTAAACAAAATTGATCTTCCATCTTGAAATGTGGATTGTGGAGTAAGTCGTTCAACTACATTACATCTAACATGACGTACGCATTACCAGCGCCCTGAAGAACTTGCTCGCACTGAGCCTGCGAATACAGCCGGCTTCAGCCGCTCAGCCGTGTACTCCGTGTAATATTATTATATAACAAAGCAAAGCTATATTGATACAGCGGTAAAGTCATATAATAAAGCTCAGTGATTTAGCCCCTAGTTTTCATTGTCTTACCCGCCAATTATTAGAAATTGTCCACAGTGTCGGCGCGTATGATGAAACTGTTTTTTGCGTATGATGAAACTGTTTTTTGCGCGTATGATGAAACTGTTTTTTATAGTTTCAATATTAGTTTGTAAATCTCTGAATGGTAAAACTTGCCAATACTCCAATAATACGTTTCAAAAAAGACAAAAAAGCTTTAGTTTTGCAGAGCTAAATTCGAAATTTGATTTGAATAAACCACATTGCATATATTGGGGGGGGGGCGAATATCCTAAAGGGGGGCGATATTCCTAGGGTATTCACCCCCATTCCTAGGAATATCGCCCCCCTTTTGAGGGGGAGGGGGCGAAAGTCCTGTGACATCGGCATGTAAAAATAGCAGTACTTATTAAACCCCCCCCCCCCCAATATGAGTTTGCCCCTCAAATGTCCCCCCAAATTCTGAGGCCTGGCGCCGCCACTGATCGTCCACTGAACTATGTTGATTGGCTAATTTGCGCAAGTTGTGCTTTTTTATCTCAAATAGCCAATGTGATAGAAAAGATCAGGTTTTAGCAATACATTTGGGAATATAAATTAGGAGAAAGGAGACAGCTGTACTGACGGTGAAACAAACAATCACATTTCTAATAGCCCCCCCCCCCCGCCCGTTGTCCGCAAAACATGAATTTGACGGTACATTACCCTCAAATAAAATCAGAAAGCTAATGTGCGGGAAAATGTTTTACAATGCGACCTCCCCACCCGCCCGCGCCAACGTACAACCTCGTAAGAGTCCAGTTGCCTACCCTGGTTGATAACAGAGAGTTGATAAAAAGTTGATACGTTCTGTATATAGTCCAGTTTACTATATATGCCAGTACTTGAAATCTCAGCGGATTCATAATGGTGATTCCAGCTATAGACTATTTTTTTATCTAGACAAGAAAGACGAAATCTATCATCATAGCTCAAAAGAGCCTAGCATCCTTAAATTAGTAAAATTGCAAAGTTTGGTTGCGAAATGTTGTAAAATACTAAAAATATAGGCCTGTGAAATGAGAAAATTTTGAGTATTTTAATTAATTACTATTACGCGCGGAATAATGCACTACTTTCGGCTCAAAAGATTTTCAATTATTTATTCATTTTGCAATCAAATTTGGCAATTTTACTAATTTAAGGATCATGTTCTTTTAAACTATATTGATATAGATTTCGTCCTTCTTGTCTAGATCAAAATTTAGTCTCATAGCTGGAACATCCACTGCCTGTTATGGCCTGTTTTCTTGCAATTTTCGCTGCGATATTTTCTTCTTCTGATGGATGTAAACTAGTGATGAGTTATGTACTCAGATGACGACCCAGTGAACTCTAATAATAACTGGAAGGACTGGAAGGCTAACTCCTATGATCAAAGTCTATGATTCGTTGAAGCCGGCGCGCGGGAAAATCAGCTTTCAAAAGGACGAAGGAGAGTTTCGAGGAGTGAAAAAAATTCTGCCAAAAGTTTGTTTTCGAGCAAAAATTTGCAAGAAAAACACTTTTTCCATGGGAATACAACAATGATTGGGATTTAAACCAGGTTTTCCGATTAGTTCCAACTGTTTTACATCTCTCTGCAGCAAAAAGTAAGCAGTTTTGCTTTTGTATTTTGAGAAAATGACGAAAGTTTGGACGTGCCGAAGGAAATCTCGCCGTTCAACTCTATAAAACATTTTGACAGTCCCAAAACTTATGTTGTACTAAACCCCAGGTATTGTTATTGATCCTGAGCTTTTAGTCCTTGTTTTAGTCCCTCTTAAACATAAATAAATTGGCGTTTTTCAAGTGATGTTATTTTCGTCATCGGCATCTTGTTGGCCACTATGAGCACTTTGAATATGGCAATATTTTTGTCAATTTTCAAATGCTTTTTTTTCGACCTTAAAACGTTAAATCTTCTTGAAACTTCGCATACAGATGTATTTTGCATGGGTATAAAAAATTCCTGAGGTGTGTCGGTGTGACGTCTTAGTTTTATCTTAAACTTCCAAAAACTCAGAAAAAGCAGCCTAAAACGCGCGGTTTTTCGGACCGTTCATGCTTATGGTCGTGTTTTTTCGCATTTTTTTGCTAATTCGTGATATGTTTGCTTTGCGAATATTAAATTCATTTATAATACTACTGATATAAATTAAATTTGGTAGTATAACTAATATTTTGGGGCAAGATTTTTCTGATCAAAAAATGTGCATATTTTGAAAAAAAAATTTAAAAAGGACTGGGTCTACCTACAAAAAAACCTTCAAGCACGGCTTCAACTTCCCCCCCTGACTTAGCCTTCCAGTTATTATTAGAGTTCACTGTGACGACCACAGTGATGATCGACGACTGACGATGATAAATGTACTCAGAACATTCACAATTCATCTACTCGTTCACATGCATCAGAAGAAGAAAATTGCACTAGAAATCACATTTCTCAATATATTATTTTGTGTTCAACCACCGTTGTTCGTTCCATTTTTCCCTAATTGTTTTGTGAATTCCACCTTTTAGCTATCATTCTTAATTTTAATCGGTGTCAATCAAATATCTTTTTTCTTCCTTCCAATTTCTCGTTTTCCGGCAATTTCCACTCATGTTGATATAAATGTATATCAACACGCGGGAAAATGTTTTATATTAGTTATATTTGTTAAATATAATGCACGATAATGCCAAAGTTGAGTTACCTTTTTTTAATACACCTTGTATATTTGCATAAAACTTGACTGAGTTCTCTTCATATTTGTTAAGTAGTTCGGTGTCCACTTTTAGTGTGACGGCAGCTCTGACCATGGAGAGGGTAATTCTCGGTGGCATTTGTATTTGTGAAACCGGGATGTTGGGATGCATGGCCAGAGGTTTCTCTGCCTACGGAGTTCGTGCATGGTTGGTTGGTTAGTTGGTTTGCAGAGATTTGTGTGAACCTTTTCCAATAGAGCTACACCCTTCACTACAATATCATTAGGCTATTGTTGTTCACTCTTGTATACTGCGTATACAGGGTGTCCCAAAAAAAAGTGACACTATAGAAATTATCCTATTGTTATAATTTGAATGCCCTAGCACTAAGTTGATCCCACAGGTGCATAAACTTCTGCTTCTGGAATTTAAAATAAAAAAGCAAACCGTTTATTAGTGTAATCGGTTTGCTTGACTCGGGCGTTAAAATATTTGGACAAAGCGAAAACGTTTTAAAATGCTTAAATGTAAATACAAGTTCATTAAATTCCCAGGCGTGTAATCACGCGCGTTTAAGAGCGGCTTAAGAACAATGAGATAATTTCTATAGTGTCACTTTTTTTTGGGACACCCTGTATATTGAATATACAGGGTGTATCAAAGAAAAGGAGACCTTTAGAAATCAACCATATTGTTAAAATTTGAATGCCTTTTCAATTGCACATATGCTGAACCGTATTGCGTGAAATATTGATATGGGGTGCATAATTGCATATATTAGAAAAAGGAGACTTTTAGAAATTGAAATAACGTTTAAACACAAGACTGTCTGCTCCTGGGAACAATCTGCCATGCATAAAGGCGGTTTTCCACTAGGCGAAATTTTTCGACCGAATCGAAATTTCCCTTTGTTTCATGAGCTCTCGAGCAGAACTAATTGTAAAAAGACAAAAAGAAATTTCTTTTCGGTCGAAAAATTCCGCCTCGTGGAATCAGGCCTTTAATGTACGTAGATCACATGTTCCGCACTCGTGTGATTAGCAAAGGATCCTCCAGGATTCAAATTATAACAACGGTTGATTTCTAAAGGTCTCCTTTTTGGCTTTTTCTAATATAGGCACTCATCAATATTTCACGCACCACGGTTCAGCCAGTGCCGGATTAACCATATGTCAGAAGCGGCATATGCATGCCACGGGCCCCGCGCTTTTGGGGGCCCGGCGCTTACTCTCTTCTATTTTTTTTCTGAATTTTTTCTTCCCTGGCCCAAACAGTGCCCCAGAAAACTCGAGGCCCCAAAATATCGGCCCCAAACGGGGTTTTTTTCTTCCCTGTTTTAGTGTTTCAGCGCGGGGCCCCAAAGAGCCCAAGGTCCTCAGTGAAAACGTTATAGCCCCCAAAATTTAAAAATCGAGGCCCCAAAGTGCGGGGCCCCGAACGATTTTTTTGTTCCCTGTTTTAGCGCGGGATCCAAACAACACGGGGCCCCAAAGAGTCCAAGGCCCCCAAAAGCGAAACCCCAAACTAAAAAAACCTCGAGGCCCCAAAGCTTAAAAAGCGAGGCTCCATGAAAAGCAGGCCAGCAAACAAAATTTTTTGTTCCTTCTATGAGCAAGGGGCTCCAAAAAGCGATCGCGTGGCCAGAAAATAATAGGGTTCAGAAATGATTTCAAAATTTGCAGCAAGCTGTTAAATACTAAAAGATCGCTGAATTTCGTGGAAGACGGCAGAAGTTGATATGGACCCTCTGTAAATAATAATAATGTTAATGGTGTAAATTGGGTTGAATTTCAGTTCGATCACATTATTGATGTATAATTCTTTCTTTTTTTGTAAATACACAGGAAACTTTCCAACGCACGAAATACAAAAGGATATTTTTTAATCTTACTGAATTAAGGGTCTAAAATGCCGTTGGGCGGTTGGGGGGGGGGGGATCAAGGGGCTCGCTCCAATAATATGCCACGGGCCCCGCGAAATGGCATTCAAATTTTAACCATATGCTTGATTTCTAAAGGTCTCCTTTTTTTATACACCCTGTAGATTAACAATAGCCCCGCGCTGCGACGAGGGATTGTATGTTAATTGAGAACATAATTGTTATTGCCTAGTTAAATTACGCAATGCTTCAGTATTTATATTAACTGATATTCACAATATGCATGGCCCGAGTGATATCTCAGTCTTGGGACAAAAATACAGATTGTGGGGCTTGTGGTATCTCTGCAGTTCATACACTACCGTAAAGTGCACACAAGTCACTTACTTTCGTCGCAGCAGGAGACGTATTACTATGCATGACTTCTACTGTTATTTATTTTAAACTGATCTTTATAATAACATCACAAACTAGGGGCGCCTAGGCTGCATAGCTTATAAGACACAGTATGGGGAGAGATTGTAGTACAACGTGTCGTCGATCGTATTTTTTATGCAAAAATATGCAGCTTACTGGCTAGGACGAGCAAGGACGAGCCAGTTCAGCGTGCTTATTGCCCAGAACATGCAGTTTACTGGCTGAGCAACATGCGTAATGCGATATGCGCGAGGCAGTACTGTCCTTCCCTATACTGTGGCTAAGATGACGTACAGTACCTTGCCGAGTTGCCATAAGACGTTCACATTTTGATTTGATCAAGACAAAGCCAATCGATCTCCCATGACCATCAGTGGGTCTGACGTCACTGAGTAAACCAATGTTGTTTGTGCAGTAAACAGTGAAACGTTATACAGAAAATCACATGGTGTGCTCTCAACCAATCAACGTTAGCCAGGTAATGGTTAAAACCCAGCGTAAGTAAAGCTAGGGTGTGTACTTTGGCAGTAGACGCAGAGAAGGCAAGCTTCAACATTTTGCATGCAGAAAATTGAATTTCAGTCAGATTGAAGGTATGATTTATATATATATATATATATATGCATTTCACTTGAGTTTTGCAGTTGTTAGTTTATTTCTTTTGGTATACTGAAGTTTAGTAAGATTGCTTGCCTGTACTGCTCAAGACGTCTGAGTTGCAGAGCTAAATTACGTATTTCCATGAATCGAGTCAGCTAATGCTTTGTGAACATTCTTTCTGTCCTTGAAGTAGAAGGATAGCGCTAGATGTAGCCTTCTGGTCAGAGCTAAGCCTGTACTGTACGGCAGAGAGACGGAACAACCGGAAATTTGTAGTCAAAAGTCTCCATCTGAATATCGGGCCGTATTGATTGAGTATATATAGATACAACACTTGGCAGAGTCAGCGCCGCGGGAGTCCTGTAAACACTTGCAAACCTTGCAAAGTTGGTCAGTTCAAGGTTTAGCAGGCAGTTGTGCAAATGCAAGTGAATGTTTGGCCGCCTCATGGCCATGGCCGCCCATGGGATAGGATGTGCGCGTTCTCAATTTTCTCCTGTTAGTAGCTCAACTGATTCCGTTTTCATGAATTCCACTCTGAAAGCTAGTGTCTATTTGTACGGTGCAAGCAGCAAAGGCGTTAATTAATTTCAGTTGATGTGAAGATAATGTAGTTCTACTCTTTTGGATTTTCCGATGACAATTTGTACTAAATAACATTCACTGTAATTTGTTTGCACCATATTTTTTAACACGTTGTCTACATAACAACCATGTACTGTACGAGATATATTCAATAAATGTCGATGTAAAAAGGAGCAACTAACTTTAAATTAGTCAACTGAGACAGAATCTTTTCTCTTTAAGTTAGATAACGGCAATTCAACTGGTTCTGCACCAAAATAACTAACACAATTATATTTAAAACTCTCAGGAAATTCTCCTGCTGATGCTTGCCGAGGTAATTGTTTTCAACGCAAATGAACTATCGTCTACAGTATCTCCAACCATCTGGCCTCATGTTTAACGTGACCCCTTGCAAACACCACAGATTACTATGCACTGTGTTTTAGCTTAAAAATTCCATTTTCACTTCGTTTTACTGAATCCTACTGTATTAGTCGAAAACATGAATGTAATTTTCCCATGTCTTCGTTATGCATTGCTGCTTCGGTGACTGAGTTCTCAGAGCAGAAATTACTTGCATGCAAATGATCTTAAATTTCCATCTAGAGTGTCGGACAGAAGACAAAAAAGTTGGCCGTCTATCAATACAATCTATTGTATACATTGTTTTCAATTAGAGAACCGTGTCATTTTCCAGAAGATACGTCAAATGAAATCATAGACAGTGTCAGTGTCGGCGGTTTTGAGGTGCTTTGAATTAGGAATGCATGGCAAACAGTTAGTGGTTTTGAAAGAATTTGCCGTTGGCAATTTAATAGCAGGGTCGAAAATACAGACTACATGTTACCCAACCTCGTTCCCAGGCTGGAACGCGGTTGCATGTTATAACTATAATTAACTTTATTCGTATTAATTTCGCGCGTACTTAGTTTCTTTCGCGAAACTTTATTTTTGTGATTTCGATAGGTGAAACTAGAGAAAGGGCATTTAATTTCGCGAAAGCTTTTGGAACAACAATTTTTTATAAAAACCTGAACTATACACTTCGAAACAGGTCAACATATATTAATATATATACTGTTTGTGTATGGTAGTCCGCAGTGTTTTTATACTCATCTTTATTGTCGGTAGATTCGGTAATAAGACAAAATGCAAACTGTAGCTTAACATACTGGTGTACATCTTGTTGGTCATATTTATCAAGAATTTTACGATTCAAATTTTTGACTAGGGTGTAAATTTCGCGAGGTTTTTAGTATTCGCACGACTTTATGCCGGTACTAGCGAATTTTTTCGCGCGAAGCGAATTTTTCATTTTTGTCTTTGGTCTCTCAACTGGAACCATCTGGAGTAATTGGATAAAGACAAAAGAAAAATTCGCTTCGTGCATGGAAAACCGGTTGTAATTTCGCGATTTTTTTTACGAAAATCGCGAAATTAAAGTCTCTAAACTCGTATCAACAAATGACATGGCTTTACTACTTCACGTGATCAGAACATAGTATACATATGCATGTCGTATGATATTTTTGCGGGGTTTTAAAACCAGAATGAAACGAAAATGAAAGATGTAATTTTGCTGTGTATAGATGAATTGCTAGATCAACGGGTCGGCTCTTTTCAGTTGAAGCCGGGGGGGCTCCTTAACAGAAAGTTACGCCACTGTGTCAAACTTTATAAATTTTCGTTATCATAGCCCATGCCTAAACTTGCAGTGGTATAAGACCTGCATGTTTTTGGATCGATAAAGGCACGTTCAAACAAAGTACAGTGTTGTTGGGATATTATGATTGGTTGAGGTTGGAAGATGTTAGATCAGGCCTTCAGGGTTTTAAAACCCCCAAAGCATGTGTTCTCATGTGCCGAACGCTGCATTAGAAAAATAGATAATGAGGCATTTCAGCTGATTATCTATTATTATTATCTATTATATTGTTTTTAATGCGTTCGGCACATGAGAAGTTCGACGTTTGAAACAGGCCTTAGTATTTCTTATGGTTGTTAAAAATTGCTTCAAGAGCTTTCTTCAGCTCACTTATGAATAATATATACATAAGCAAATGTGAAATATCTCCTGATCTGGGTTCAATTAAATCCTATTAAGACAACAAAGCGGGAATCTGATAAGCTGGTTTCCAATTCCTATACTGTTCAATACATCCTCTCATTTGTGTCAAATGTCATATATACTTAATATATGTACTACATTACTACCAAAAATGCAAAATTATAACTAGGCCGTTAATGATGCTTTGTAATGGATGGCATTTCTGAAGTATTTCTGAATTCATTCCAAAATTCTAGTTAGGTTGATTCCACACAGTCAGTAATCCGTATACAGGGTGTATCAATAAAAACGCAACCTCGGAATTTCCTAAGAAATCACTTTGCAATTCTTAAGCATAAAAGATTTTAGGCCCCTGGGAATTGAAATCGAATTGCTAATAGATCATAACTGTCAAAATTACTGCACACGCGAGTGCATAAAGCAAAATTTATGCATTTATTTAATAATAAATGCATAAATTTTGCTTTATGCACTCGCGTGTGCAGTAATTTTGACAGTTATGCTATTTTAAATTCCCAGGTGCCTAAAATCTTTTGTCTTTAATAAAACAATGTCGATTTCTTGGGAAATTCCGAGGTTGCGCTTTTTTTGATACACCCTGTATATAGAATCGTTGGGTTTATTCCTCCATGCAGAACAAGTTAAGAAAATAGATCGAGTTACCTTAATTAATTAATTAACATCATGAAGGTTTTAAACAAATATTAAAAAAGTGTGTTTGCACGTTGTCTTAGACAGTACTTGAAATAATGCACCGCAAGCCCTATTTTACGTCACAATGTCACACGATGTCACTTTTCATTCAAAAAGTTTTCAAACGACTTGTGGGGGAACATGGATGCATGTCATATGGCTTGAATGAACGACAGAAGTTACATAATACGATAGACGCTGATATAATCACTGTTCGCAATCTAGGGTGCAAGCAGCCTCTTAACCCAGGTTCTTCTGAGCTGCTTTCTACCATAGAATAAAGATCCATATAGAAGGGCCACTTAGTCGGAAGCTTTGAAGTTTCTGTCCTCGCGCATGTCGCATTACGCATGTTGGCCGCCATTTTCCTAGCCAGTCAATGACATTTTCTGGCCAATAAACACGCTGTACTGGCTGGCTGCTCCGCCTTCTGGCCAGTGAACTCCATATTTTTGCATAAAAAAACGAGGACACATTGCACCGCCGAGTGGCCCTTCTGTTAAGGCCGTTTTTCTTTGTCTTTTCTAATTAGTTCCACCTGAGAAATCACAAGACAAAGAAAAATTCCGCTCCGCGCGGAGAATTCCGCCTAGTGGAAAACCGGCTTTACTGACCTTTATTCTGTGCTTTCTACAGGGTGTATAAAAAAGACGACCTTTAGAAATTAACCTTATTGTTATAATTTGAATGCTATAAGCACTACGCCTCAACACAAGAGTGCGAAAACACAATTGAATTGAATTTTTAATTACCAGGAGCAAAAGATGTTGTGCGCAATTAAAATTAACAACAATAGATTAATTTCTAAAGGTCCCCTTTTTTATGATACACCCTGTATTTCTTTTGCAAAACGTACAATTAATATTCTAAATAATTAGAGTAGGATAAACGCTCATCAATCTCTGATCTACAGTATAACCATTCCATATTTCGTTGCAGTGTCTCACTTGTGAAGATATAACAAAATGACGGACAATTTCGATCAAAGGTAAGGAAATTCTTATGAGTTATGTTTTTATTAGAATAGGAGAATTAAATAAGCCATCTTTTACAGAAAGTTTAGACATAAACCACCGTAGTTTATTGTAGATACGAGCTTTATCACCAGAACTAAATTTTTATGCTGCTGCTCTTGTCACACCTATCTACTGGTATGTTTCTACGCATTCCCATTTATTTCTCTGTTGTAGCGATGCAGGTGATCGCTATCTTATCCAGAGTAATGCTCTATCTGGATGGTTTCTTGGTCCCCGAGCTGAAAACCGTGAACTATTCAACGAGCTTATTAACCAGACGATCACTCAACATCAACAAAACCGTCGCAAGTATTGGCCAACAGACCCCGAGTATATCACAAGGGCTCAGAAATGGACTCCAGCGTATAAAGCTGAGAAGAAGCAGTTAAAAGACAAACTAAAGGAAATGAATGACGATCTGAAAATGAGTACGCCTGTTTTTAGTCCGCGTTTTCAGGTATGCAAGTATTTTAACAGTATTTATACTAAAACATGCCTGTATGTTCAGTTACATTTTTATCACGTCTGGGCGGTGTTCTTGCATAATGTCCTTTAAGTACTGTTAGTTTCTCATTCTGAGTCACCTGACCTTAACAAAGATGATAGTAACATGATATTTCTGAGCTCATTTCAATTAGCCTTTCTCACGAAGGTCTAAATCCGCCATTTTTGGGTACTATTTTATAAACAACGTGAAAAATCTAAGCGATGTGAAAATAATTTTTCAAATATTTAACTGTAAATCGATTTATAATGATTATACTTACAAATATAGCTATAGAAAGTTTCATTTTCGCTGCTAACTATCCCTGTTCTAAAAAGGTTGCCACCCAAAAATGGCGGCGTGAGAAAGGCTAATTCAGAGTCACATGAACTGGGATATCTCAATGCCTGCAGTCCCAGGCTAAATCTCAGAGGCACAGTATCTCACTGTTCTGCATGTCATCCAGTCACTTATTGTATGTCTATCCTTGCAGGGTCACATGAACTGGGATATCTCAATGCCTGCAGTCCCAGGCTAAATCTCAGAGGCACAGTATCTCACTGTTCTGCATGTCCTCCAGTCACTTATTCTATGTCTATCCTTGCAGGGTCACATGAACTGGGATATATCAATGCCTGCAGTCTTAGGTTATATCTCGGGCATGGTATGGAACCCCAACAACGTGGATGTCACAGCATCACCAATAACCACACCTTATGAGATTATTGCGGCAGATCAGATTTGTGATATGATAGGATTTGATCGTTCTAAGATTGAGCCTTGGGGACATATCACGTGTGGTAAGTTAAATATCACACACTAAAAACCGATTAAAGGCTGAGTATCGCGAAAAGAGTTTTCTCTGATTGGAGAAAGAGGATTTTTCCAATCAGTTTGCTATTGGAAGCTGGTATTCGTAACGATGACATGATTCCTTAATGTATGAAGACTTAATAATATGATATATGCAAGAAACGTCATTCAGGTTTTGCCATCCAGAGCATTTGCTCGTTTTCTGGAAAGTGGGGGTCACATGACAAATTGTTGCCCATTTATGGCTTCAATTCCTTTTCTTTATTCCAGGTGGATCGATTGCAAACATTGAAGCAGTGTGGTCGTCAAGAAACATGAAATTCTATCCTCTCAGTTTACAAGATGCAGTAATGGCTGAAGCTCAGTTGGCAGGAGCAAAAACTTACAAAGTTAATGTGCCTGCAAAACCAGATCCACAACCCCGTGGTGACCAACCGTTTGTTCAGGAAGAACTACAGAATTGTTCTGTGTGGCAATTACTGAATCTTGATGTTGACGATGCTTGCAGGTTTTTTCTCAAAATTCCTACATTGTACTATCGCAAAAAATTCTTACTTAGCTACTTAGTTATTTATGAATTTACATCTAGCCCTACACACTCTGTCAACATTGCCTGTGCGGGAAAACTGGAGTAGAGAGAAAACTCACGGTGTTCGGCAGACCATTGACTGACTCTTTTACATGAATATTGCGGAACGAGAATCGAAGCTACGATTTCAAAAGTGAACGGCCCTTATTTGACGACTGTGCCCCGAAACCCTAGCCTGCTTTGCAGACGCATCTATGGCTCCAGCAAGTTCCAAATAGTTAATTACTTTTAAGTAATATTACTCTAAAAGTAAGATACTACAACCTTAAATTTTGTTATAGCATGGCTGAAGGTGTGGCGGGCGCCGCAGGTGTCAGTATGGATATTCTATCTGGTTTAGTCCACCCCTATGCCTACACATCCATTGGTATATACAGCTTTCTGCAGAAACATAGCATCAACTCTCCCAAACTATTTGTACCAGCTACCTGTCATTACTCTTGGCCTAAAGCTGCTACAGTTCTAGGACTGGGTGAAGACAACTTAATTCATATCAATGTTACCGCATTAGCCAGACAAGACATGAACCGTAAGTATTCTTCATTGTAATAATGTTTCATTTCTATTGTGCATTAGTTGCATTAGCTAATCGATCATTGTGTGTAATATCTGAATATTCTGAGAGCAAACGACGTGATTTTGTTCTTAGATTTACGTGAAGAACTGCAGAAGTGTGTCACGAACGCAATTCCCGTGATCTCTGTAACGGCTGTTATGGGTAGCACAGAAGAAAGTGCCATTGATCCCCTGACAGAAATACTCGCCATGAGAGAAGAGTTCAAGATGAAGGTATATGTGTTTGTTCGAGAAACACACACCCCCCCCCAGTCTAGGTTAAAACTGTCTTTTAAGAGCAGCTCAATGAACCCTTTCGCGTTGCAATTATCCGGCGCGAATGTCTGATCTGCTGGCTTAGGTTGGAAGATATTGCAATCTCGCAGAAAAAAATATGGTTCTCTTTTTACCAAACATATCTGAACATGCATGTAGGGTAGCAATTATTAGGTGCGACTAAAGTGGAGAGATCTGGTTCTTTCTTTCCAAGATCCTTTCAGGAATGGAAAAAAAAACTACCTAGTCAATAAATAGTGTTACCAAAACGTCTATGATAAAGATGCAACTAGCTGAAAATACATAGTGGAGAAATTCGAGGGAAGGCCCCTCGTCGGCTCGAAACGCCGAATTTCTTCTATTAATTTTTCAGGTGATTGCATAAACGTTTTGTTATTATTAGCACTACCTACACTTGACACAGACTGCTCAAAAAATGTTAGCAACATCTGTCACTAACCTCCAAATATTGAAAAGATTTAACTTCCTCATACTCATACTGCCAGTTGACAATTATTGTCGTCTACTTGGTAAGAACCTTCTTTATCGTCCCAGGGCTTGAACTTTGCTGTGCTGGCAGACGCTGCGTGGGGCGCGTATATGAGAACAATGTTGATTGATCCAGACAGCCCAGAAGAACAAGAAAAAGCTCGGAGAAGGAAAGAAAAGCAAGGAAGAGAACAACGAGAAAGGAACCGTAGTACAATTATATCAAAATATGTTCCCATCGCCCCCCTGAGTAAGCATGCTACAGATAACTTAAACGCACTACGTCATGCAGATACTGTAACCAGTGACCCTCACAAGACTGGCTATGTGCCTTATCCAGCCGGGGGATTGAGTTATAGAAATGGAACTATGAAAGATTTTGTCCTTCTGGCTGCTCCTGAAGTTTTTCATTCCGAAGATGATCTTAGTGTCGGAGTAAATGGTCTGGAAGGATCAAAACCCGGTGCTGCAGGCGCTGGTGTACTATTGTCTCACAGGGTATTCATTGTTTAAACTTCTATCGTCCAGTTGCTTAAATTTGCATTGTTGTCTATTATAAACTTCTATTGCTCAATTTAAATTGTTCAAATTTCCATTCTTCGTTGTCCAAATTTTCATTGTTCTGTTATCCAAATTATCATTATTCAATAGGTGATTGGTATGGACAAGTATGGTTATGGTCGTATCTTAGGTCAATGTGTGTATGGTTCAAAGATCTATTACTGTATGTGGCTGCATCTCTCCAAACCTACAGATCCATTTATCATCAAGCCATACATCCCATGTTCTGATCAAGATAAAGAGCTGGCTAAAAATTTGATTATTGGGAAATCAAACTTGCAGATTGTCACGGTATAATAGGTTTTGTTTTATTTGGGGGGGGGGGGGACACTTATCGGAAAAATAGACTTTGAATCGTTTCTTACCCATACAATCCGCGTGTCGCACCCACCTTAGTTGTCTTCTCGTTATGTTTTCATCCATGGAGTGTCAAGTGTGTGCATGTTCACGGATTCTGTATAGACAATAATAAAGTCTGTATTCTTACCCCTCTTGCGCATAAAACAAGCCGTCACAAAATCAAACTTTGCAGTAAAAAGTCTATTAAGCAGTTAACGTTTCCACTTTAACCTATATTATCACTAAGACTCGTCAAGACTTTAAGTTGCATCTAAATATTTACTCCTATAGAGAGTTGAAACTGTTATTACGGTCCATTTTGCACATAACATACTCATTTTGTTATCATTAGTACAGGCAGATCTAGAAAAAATACTTACTTGCGGGAATGATTAAGATTAATACAGTACATCTTATGTCTTACTAGAACTCGGATGCCATGGCTTTGCTTGACAGAGTTGGGCCTGACTGCATGATCAATAAATTTGGAATAAACCTCATTATTGATGACGTGAAGAACAACGATGTTGACCTTTCTACTGAGTATTCCAAGAAAAATTGGACGAATAGTTTCTGTGAATGCTAACAAAGACAATTACAGAGTACCCCTCGTTATCTTCCAATCTATTATGGAACCAGGCACTTTTGGACAATCATTGGTAGACTTTGAAAATTCGATTGGCGTAAGTACTTCATGAAAGAAACTTTATTTATACTGTAGAGCTCTGTCGACCAAATATGAATTGTTCTCCCTGGAGGTCCACTAATACTGGATCAATCCTCTCACATACGACCAAGAGAAATGATAATCAGACAACTGCATATCGCAAGCTTCGAACCCTAGTCGCTAACACCCAAGGATAACGAAGGAAATATTGATGAAATTCCTGTCTTCTGTGTGTTGTAGCTGACAGTGAACACTGAAAATCAATTTGGTTGTATGGTGAACACTGTGATGAACCCCTGGCAAGCAAGTGGAGAATTCGTTTGGAGAGTTGGTGAAATTTATCGTGAGGCTTGTCTTCTTGCTTATGGCTGGGTAAGTACTTCATCTCCTGGTGATGAGAATGGATAATGGTTCCCTTTCTTCCTGGTGATCTCCTGCTCCTGCCTGTAATAATTGTTTAGCTAGCAAGCTTTCACAAAGGCATCTCACCCTAAAAGTTAGTTTCCTCGCTTAGATAATTTCATGAGATTTCTCTCTCATCCCGTCTTTCTTAAAACCTCTAGCTTCCTTTGTCACTCTTGCCCTCCACGGAACGCCCATCGTTTTTTGACCGCGATAGCAATGTTGACATTAATGATGATGTTTATTATAGTCCATGTCATGATGGTAGTGATGTTAGTGGTGGTGCTAATGGTTATGATGATAATTAATATTCATGATTATGTCAATGATGATCATAATGGTGCTGATTATGGTGGTGATGATGGTTTTGATGATAATTGTGTTATACTGTTTACTGATGACGATATTGCCTTTTCTAAGTTCTTCCTATTCTTTCCTAGCAACTTGATCCTAAAGCAAAACATATGTTTGTCTGTGGTGATCTTCAATACACCGAGAAGAATGGATGGTTCATGTTCGCCAATGTGGTCGGAGAGTTTGGTAAGAAGTCACATCAGTATGAATGTGTGACCAAGTTAGCCGTGGTGAACCAAGCTGATGTGATTAAGATACAGCAATATCAGCAGAATGGAGGATTGTTTGCTTCCAACAAGAAGGAAGAAGTTCTTTACCAGATGTTGTTGGATGCTGCGGACGATACAGGTAAGATCAGAACCAAGAACCATCATAAGGTATGGTTAGTCCTAATTTTCAGGCAAATAAGACAAACCGGGTGGCATATTGTAACATACTACCTACACTGGAATGACTAGACACTAAGTTCCAGATCTCTCCCAATCTAAACAAGTAGTTTACACACAAACCCAGGTCGATTCTTTTCAGGAAGTTCGGACACAAACCACGGATATCGTTTTCAGGGTTCAGACACAAACCAAGACAGGTTATTGTCAGGGACGCCGGAACGATGTGAAGGCAAGGGGGCAGATTTTCGTGAAAGGGCACTTTTGAATTGATATATACTAAGAGATGTTTGCAAAACATCGGGAATTGAACTTCGCCTAATCATGTTTTCTATTATTGGATGATAGGAGTGTGAGGGGGTTCTCCGCCAGGCGATTGTGCTATTCTTGAAGCTCGATGACTGCATTTCTTGCGTTTTCTGAAGCAAATTCGTAAAGGAATTGCACTAACATTTCTGACAATACGCTATTTCGCCAAGGCAGTTCTTTAAATTGAAAGGGCACCTTTGCTCCCCTTGCCCTTCCTGGTAAAGTGCAACTGGGGCGGCTGCCCCTCCTGCCCCCCAGTTCCGGCGTCCCTGGTTATTGTAGAATGCTATCTCCACTTGACATCCACGCTCGTCATGATTTGTATAAAAATCGCACGCGAATTGATGAATACTTCAAATAAGATGATCAAGTAAAACCACACTAAATATGTCTTGTGTGTTCATCTAGGTGCAGAGTTTGAGTTTAACTATCGAAACCAAAGTGGTGGCACTCTCTTCACAGCCTCTCTCAAAGTTGTGGACACACCGCGAATCAAACATTTTGAAACACAATCGGACCCTGATCTACAGTACCCAGATAACTACCAATACTTCATGTATGGTGAGGGTGGCAAGGTCTATCTATCTCACATGATTACCAAGAAACCTGATTTCCAACAGGTAATCAACGTTCATTACAATAATCATGTTTATTATGAGCGTAGTTTTTATTAATCATGGCTGTTTGAGCAGTATAGCCAATCGTGTACCGCTAGACAGTAAAGTTGCTGGCGTTCGGTAGCTAGTAAAATTTTTACGAGGCCATTTGCAGTGAAGAAAACAAAGTTCGTCTACACGAGATGTGAATTTTCCCGAAGACACTGTCATTCCCATATTGTTCTAGACAGTCCAAAGTGACCCAGGTCGATAGATCAATCTGTAAGACCACTTGTGTGGTAACAACTTATTCTCAATTATAGGTTGTGGAGGTTGAGACGCTTCCAATCAAAATGTATGGAGAAAAAGATGGTTGGTTACTTTGGTATGGTTTCCCAGTGACCTTCACAGATCTACCTGTAGATCAGAATAACCCGAAGGCCAACCCACTCATCGAGAGTGATCGTACCTATCACATCAAGTTCGCAGGAGAGAAACACAAGAACAGAGAGATGGATATAGTACTCAAAGATAACACTGGATGGTTCGATAACTACGCCTTGAATCGTTGAATACAACCGTTGAGTAGTGAACATGTCGAAGCACCACGATTGATTAAATAATTAGCACGACTGATTAATAAGTAATTAGCATGATTGATTAAGTAATTAGTATGATTAATTAATGAGCGTAATTAAGTAATAAATGAATAATAAATATACTATCTTAGGTAATGGACTAGCGAAAACTGTTCGTAACACTTATCGTTCAAGCAATCAAGCGTATGTAGTATTTCAAAAATACAATTATATATTGGTGTGTTGGGACTAGCATCTTTCTTGTCCGTAATGTTCTTGTAATTTCTGAAAATCGTCACAGGTGGACAATCAGTGGGTATATAATGTAGACATCTTATTTGACTGACGAGTGACGGGAAGACTTCGGCTCCAGTATTAATAGTCTTAATCACATCCCAATTCATAGTCCATGCTTTTCTAACCTCTCCTATATCTATGGTCTTAATAATATAGTAAAGCTCATTGGAGCATGTCCGCCATGAAATGATAGCTCAATGAGAGCGCCATTTATTTACCTTACCTATTACATTTTTAAAATATTAAATAAATATGAAACTAAAACACGGTTTTTAGCTGATTGACACAATTTCTAAGTATGGCAGTGGGAAGCACATTCGAGCCTTCTATACGCCCGCTTTATCTCATGACCCCTTTACCCCTTTACCATAGCACTTCATTGTACGTCATGTTAGCTGAGACGTAGTGAGTGACACCGCACATGTAGACTGCGTAGCAGATGGTTTTTTGGGGGAGGACTTGCGGGTGGGAAAATTAAGGCGGGAGAACTGCGCGCGGGCGGAGAAAAGGGCGGGCGTGAAAAACCGCCCGTTTTCCATCAATCTCGTTCCCAGAGCATGCCCGTTCGCAGGTCAGTGTTTGGCATAGCTCTGTAGAAATTGAATTGATTCACCACGTTGCATTTGCGACATGAGTTGTACGCATGCTCGGCAATTGTTGCAAAATGTATATAAACAATCAGTAAAGGTCAAGTACGTCAGTTGTTATTATTATCATTATCATGGGCGTACCGGAAGGAAAAAATCAGGGGGGCGGAAAGAAAATTGCCCGACTTTTCGAAAAAATTGACTGAATTTGTCAGATTTATTTTTATAACAAACCAAAATTGCCCGACTGTTAATCGAATATTGCCCGACTGCCCCCCCCCCCCCCGGTA